ATTGTGATCAAGTTTACTTAATAGACCTTACAACCCAGATAATCATAAATACAAACTAGGTACTCTTACATCCATATCAAATATGGTGTCTCTACGACTACTTTAAATGGAATTAGTTATGGACATGAATAATTGTATGTAAAATGATTTATAAAGAAGAGTCACAAAGATATAATTGAACTATATTAGATCAAACAATGTCAAACATGATACGATTTAAGTGGTTATTATATTATGTATATAAGTATTTACCACAACAAACAATTTATATGGTCTTAATACCTTTTCGAGTTGTTTCCTTCTACTTCATCCTTGAACCCTTCTCAAAAGAATTCTAACTCGTGCCACATATATAAATCCATAATTACTGAGTTTGTCAGTAATATAAATGAAGTAAGAGAAACAAAATTCATCTAGCAAATATTTTTAGAGGTCCATATACATCACACATGTATATAATCAAGATATATCATATGTCCTTTCACTTTAGACGATGATTTGAGACATTAGATATATCTTCCAAAATTAAAACTTGCATCTATCAAATGATATAAAACCAAATGAATCCAACAATCTATTCTCATAGACTTTAAAAATACATCTCTCACTTATTTGGACTAAACATTAATGTCATTGATATTCACAAGGTTCAAATCTTATTTGATATATCATACATTTGTTATAGACGAGCTTATCAAGGCCGTAGATCTCAAATCCACTACTTAATTTAGTATTGAAACCACTGTTTTGGATAATCATAACAACATTTGTCCATTATCAAAACATGCACTCTTCATCTTGTCAATACAAGACTTAGAATTACTGTTTCTTTTACTAAATGAAACTTAATAAAAATGATTTAGTTTTATTCCAAACTCTAATTTAAGTCTAATCATAAGCTCTTATAGTCAATGAAACACATTATTCCATTCTAGACGTAAGTTGACTCAAATTATAATCAATGCCCTACTTCTTAAAAGACTCTTCACATTCGTATAAATGTGAGATCAATATTTAGTATCATATACCCAAGATGTAGAAGTAGACAATTTGATTTTTCTATAACAAATCGTATGAAGAAAAAGTTTTACTCCTTTATTCTATTTTGACTCTTTTGATAACCATTAACAGTTTTCTTCTTTCAACACATGAAATCATTATCTTCCTTTAAAACCGTGTTTTTCTGCCAAAATTCAAAGGAATATAAAATGAATCTCATTCCTTTTATAATTCATCTATTTAGCATCACAAACTACTTTCTTTTCTTTTCAATAAGAAGTGGTGGATATATTTAAAATTCATTCATAATGAATCTAATATACTTATTCGAGACAATCTCAAATAAAACTTGTGACCAACTATTTGATCTATAAGGAAATTCAAAATTTAAATCTCAAAACTATTTTAGATCCATTTGAATTGCTAATTTGTATCGAAAATACCTTGAAAAGTTTTACATTTCTCACGTCTTGTATTTCTTATTTAAAAGAAAAACTATCGAGGTTAGTGATCATATCATTCTTTGGGACGACTGCAACTATGAGATATGTTATATCTAGATATTCAACTTAATCATTCTCATAAGTATAGTTCTTTGAATCTAGTTATATTTGGTTGTTAGGAATTGGTTTCTTGAGAACATACAATTTAAATGGACACTCACATTTTCTCGATCCCGTGTCATCTCGTATCAACTTCCTAATCCTTGGTTAGTACATGCCACTTATTTCACATATCGTTGTTATAAATTCTCGTGTTCTATCTGAACCATTATCAAACCTTTCGAATACAACGCCAAACCTCAATTTCCTGACTTCCATACGGACCCATTGTAGCATATGTTCATGGATAATATACACTTATTTATTTTTAAATTTTGCATGAACATCTACCTCAACAATAATCGGCCGAACACCTAATTTAACATCATTATTTTCTTCATCTGATTGAACATCATAATTTAATTCATCCGGTTTAACATCATGCTTCACTTGAACCAGTTTAACATCCAAACTCACAATAACTTTGGGAAACATATTCAGGTGCACCATATCTATTAACACCAATAATATACCAGTGTTAAATTTCAAACTATCAGGACAATCTAGAGATGCACATCTAGACCATACCTAATTTCGAATGAAAATGTATCTTTGGATCCAACATTCATTTTTCAGCTTAAGAGTAAGATTAATAAAAGGAATGATGGATGAAATAAATGATCTTTATATAAAATTTTAGCTTGTTTTTCTCCCTTTGAAGTGACGAAATACAAGAATGACGTTTTGATGTTGAAAAGTTGATTGAGAATGAGAGAAATTTTTTCAAGGGTTTGGAATGTTTCTTGTTTTAGCATGAAGAAGAAGCTCATGCAAGGTGGTGTTTTATCAACTTTCCCGCTTGTATTTTCGGAGATGTGTCTCTAGAAATACCACAAAGTTGTTATTTAAGTTATTTGTGTGAATACCAAAACCACATAAATGAATGCAAGAGATATTCCAGAGACACATCTTAAGAACCATCCAAACAACATACAAAGATGTATCTCTCGACCATATTTTTGTAAAACTTGGGTGAAACTCAGAAAAGAGAAGGCTGACGTGATTTTTGGTGTGTCTGAAGATGCATCTTCGAACGCATGAAGGGCAATTTTGAATTTTCAAGTGTGCGGTATGCAGGTATTTGAGTGGAAAGACTAATACCCTAAAAATAACTAAAAGTGTAGCTAATTATAATGAAAAAAATGATTAGGCCCCATTCGAATACTTTTCTTATATTTGTGTGGTCAATCCTTTCTTACTAGTTACACACAATTTCTAGCTATATAACCTTCTTTATTCTGATTACTATCATACTAATTGTGAAAATGTTGAAAACTAGGACAAAAATATCATTTATATTTTGAATAGTAATTGATAGACATAAATACCGACTACCTAGCTAAGGCAAATAAGATTACAGAAAATAGGTCTCCAATTCCTCAATTATCTATTAAATAGATGCTCCAATCATGGGCGGATCCATGTACATGCTTACTATGGCTAAAACTGCGCGCGTACACACACACATACATACACACACACACACACACACCCACACACACTCACCCCCCCCCCACACACACACACATATAGGCAAAATTACTTCTAGATCCTCTAAGTTATTTCAAAATATCAAGTTAGTCCCTTAAGTTTTTTTTTGTAAAGCTTTAGTCATTTTTTAAAATCTGTGTTACAATAAATTACAAACTCATATACCATTTGAATTGGTTTTTCACGCTGATCACGAATATGTAATTAGTTTTGCGTTTGATTGTGTATTTTGGTCGGATCGTTGATTTTTCATTATGTATTTCGTCCATTTTTACCTGATTCTTATGAACCGTAACTTGTTTGACAAATTTGATTGCATATTCATGATCAGCGTGAAAAACAAGTTCAAATGGTATATGAGTTTGCAATTTATTGTAACACACACACACACACACACATATATATATATGTGTGTGTGTGTGTGTGTGTATGTATATATATAAATATATATATATATATATATATATATATATATATATATATATATATATATATATATATATATATATATATATATATATATATATATATATATATATATATATATATATATATATATATATATATATATATATATATATATATATATATGTGTGTGTGTGTGTGTGTGTGTGTGTGTGTGTGTGTGTGTGTGTGTGTGTGTGTGTGTGTGTGTGTGTGTGTGTGTGTGTGTGTGTGTGAATTTTTCACCAAAATAACCTACATTTCACCCCCTAAATTCCATTCTACCCAACATTCCACCATATATACCAATCTACCCATCTTTCATATTTTTTTTTAAATTACAAGGGGGCGCCATTGGTGTTGGAGCCACCCTTATAAATTATAGGGGGCGCCATCCCCTTTGGAGGCACCCTATAATTTATAAGGGGGGCGCCATCCCCTTTGGAGCGTCCCTTGAACAAATTTTTAAAATAGTTTTAAATATATAATAAGTTTAAAAATATTTAATAAATAATAATTTTATAAATAAAATTTTTAAAATAATTTTATAATTAATAAATAAATAATAAATAAGATTTTCATTAATAATTTCCAAATAATAAATAAAAGTTAAATTGTATTTAATAAACTTAATATTAAAAAATAATTACAATTTTCATTTAATCACAAATGGGTACATATGAGTGATATGGCACACTAATTTCTACGACTAGGTCGGTTTAAATGTCCACCCGTAGCGCATCCTCGATTATGTATGTTTCTTGGTCATCTTTGTGGTGGAGTCGGGTCGACCGTGTCGTCTTCAAGAAATTGCATCACTTCGGCCCATGTAGACGATTCCATCTCCGTAAAGTCATCCAAATCAAAAGGGTTGCCCATGCCTTCATAATTATTTTGGGGTGGTTGGCTGTATGAGGCAATGTCAGGACGATAGCCTGCCTGGCCGTAGGGTGACATGGGTGTAAATGTTTGGGCGGGTAAGGGTTGATTTGGTGTTTGAAACTGGGTGTTTATTTGGTTTGTAGTATCCATGGAGTATGTTTGGTATTGTGGTGGATATTGTTGGTATTCGGACTGTGAATAAGCTTGTGTGAATGAGGTGAATTGGTTAGGGGTATGTTCATATAGTTGTGGTTGTGTGAGTGGGGGTTGGGTTGGCGGTTGGAAATGGGGTTGGGTTGGTGGTTGGAAATGGGGCTGGGTTGGTTGTTGGGGTCTTGATGATGAGGCTTGTTGGCGTGGGTCAACAAGATATCTTGGATGCGAAATGAAACCAATGAATACCTCCCTATACCAATTCATGTATTGTATAATCTGTTTTCTCTCGTATGGAAACACAGTGTCGGACAAAACAAAATGGCTGCGATGCCTCCATTCACGACACTCATGTTTTGCATACTTGGTCCATGGAGAATATTCCCATTGGTCAGAGACTTTACCGGTGTGATATTTGTCGGGGATGCATTACGGCGGACATGGAATATCTTGAAGCATTCCAAACTGAAGCTTGACACGATCACTGTTGTGCATCTCCACGGTGGTGAAGTTGATAATCGGCACCTTTGCACTCCACACTGCAGAGTCGTGTTGGTTAACTTCATGAATGGCTTCTAGACCAAGATATGGCTGCCAAATAAACTGTAGGAGAAAAAAATAATATTTTGTATTTTCTAATAATATTTAAGGAGACTATATTCTAAATAGGTAGGTTAAGGATACTATATTCTAATAATATTTAGTACTTACATCATCTTGTCCCAAATGATCTATAAGATTTCTGTATTGGGTGATACTGAAATGGGAACAGTTGTCGTAATTCATCCCAAGTGAAGACCACCTACAAATCGAAAAGAAAACGTTTGTTAATAATAGGATAAATTAAGTAAAAGACTATGAAAGATTGATCATTCTTGGTCTAAGTAATTACCTTGTAGCATATGGGAATTCAAAATTATTTTGTTGGATAGGTGCTAGATTGGTCAT